CTCCTCACCACCGATTTGGATCACTTGTTGTTCCCTTGTCCCTGGGTTTGTTAACACCACTACCTTTCTCCCCACCTCCCCATCTCCCATGTCCCCCCGGAGCTGTCAGTCCTGTTGTTTTCTCCTCCAGATTGTTCATCCAGCCTACCTTATTTAGACAGACCTGCGGAGCTAATAACATGCACAAAAACAAGACAGAGCAAAACCAAGCAACAATATGCAACAAAACAACAACAACAAACCAATGACAAAAAAAACAAAAACAAAGCACAACAAGAAAGAAAAGCTTGTAGTTAGTTCAAGGACTGTTTGTTGGCCTTTAGGAGTGTGTTCCAGTCCAGTATGTTGGGGCACCACGCCCTGGCCCCAAAGTCCACCTTCAGCATTCCCTGGGGACCTCGCCGCTCCATTCCCTTGCTGTTCTGTTGCACCCCCTTAGTGTTTTGCCTAGGTGTGGCGGGATCAGATCAGGCGCAATTCCCACAGTCTCTGGTGGTTACCCCTGTAGGACTATGGGTCAGTGAGGGGTGTCATGTCTCATAGTGGGGTCGGCCATGTGGTCCTCTCTGTGGACTGGCTGCTCTAATTGGGAACATCGTCTTCAAGGCCTGGTGGGCCAGAATGTGCTCCACTCTCTCCTCCTCCCCCTTCATCTGCTCCTGTGTGCTCCGATCAGATATGTCCCTCTCTCGGAGCAGCAGATTCAATGCCGTCATTTGAAATAAATTCTTCTGGGGGGGAGGGGCAGGTGTCCACATAGTAGTTGAGATTGGGGCTGGCCCCTCAGACCTCTTCACTGGTTCCTGACTCCCCTGATACAGGCCTTTAAAGGAGCGTTAAAGGGTTTTGAGGTTATGTTGCATACCGTGGTAAGTTTTTGGAATGTTTTTAGAAGAAGGGTGATAAATCTTATGAAAAAGGCCGGCTGCTGCCATGAGATTGCTTGGGGACAAGGGTAGGCTTTAGGAGACTACTGTAGTCATCCATGCTAAGTGGGGTGATGCGTTGGGTCGTTGCTCAATTGATTGAGATGTTTGAGCTTTTGTTGTATTTCCAGGAGAGTGATGGGAGTGAGAACATGTGAATCTAGATGCCTGTTCAGTGGCTCCAAGGGAGAAGTTTGCTGTATCGAACCACTGCATTCCAAGCCCGAGTTGAAAGACCATCCCATCACACAGTTTTCGTTACTGGCCATGGCGTCTCTGACAAAGGCAGGTGTAATTAGAAGATGAAATGCGTACCTTTGAGAGGCTCTGAATATCACAAACTTGAAATTTACAGGTCGAATGTTGGACGTGTATTTTCTCCTGCAGATCCTGGTCATTGGCTTGAAACCAACCTTGAAGGTGTGGATGACTTTTCCCTATGGACGGGTGAGTAAGCCTGTCCATCTGATTGGGGAAAAACATAACAGGAAGGGCTTAAGAAAGTCCATGGAAAAATTCCATTGTCTGGTCAAGTCCATTCTTCCATGAACTTTTTGAAGCTGCCTTGGAAGTGGCAGCCCCAGTGAACTGATGGTCAGGCAACTGTGTCCAGTAGTGAGTGCTGCCAAGGTCATTGTCTGCGTGTACCCTGAAGCAACCCAGGCAGCCGAAGCTGATGGCTAGAGCAAGGTCCTGCGATTGTGCCCCTTGTACTTCTCTACCTCCAGCACTTTGTTGTGTGTTTTTCCTCTCTGAAATAGTCTCTGTGCATTGCTGTCCCGGCGCTTTGTAATCACACTTCGTTTCATGCATAGATTGTCCCCGCCTCATTTACTGCCCACCCGAGCGAAGTAAAATCCCTGATCAGATGTAAAGCCGGCAGATAGGTTGAGTTATTGATTTCCAGCCTGAATTCCCATTGTTTGAAAGACAGTGGCTTTTGCGTGGCGGCTGCATTGAGGGAGATTGTGCTCGCCGTCTGCTGTTTTGAGACTGAACTGCTGTTGGAATCCATCTCGCTCAAATTCCCAGCATACTTTGCCACCGCATTTCCTTTTCTGGGCTTCTGCCTCTGGTATTTTACTTTAGGGCAGGCTACTTCCCCAAATACGGATAGTACAGAGAGTAACACACACCCGACTCTCCCCTCTCTTTCCTGCTTGCTTATTTTGACCTTCTAATGTAGAGGAGAGAGGAGTGGATGGAATGGAGGTACAAAACTCAGCTTCACCCAGAAAACAGTTCCACAGGGAGGGAGATGACTCTTCCTTTGTGTCGTTGGTACCAGTGTTTCTCGGGGCTCCAAAGGAAGCAGGCTTGTTGACACAGAGGGCAGTGCTGGCTTGACTTTGCCCCATTGGTGACTTGACCTGTATCGTGGTGGCACATGCTTGCAGCTGTGTATGTGTTTGTTTTTTGTTTTCAAATGAGTTGCTTTCATTCCAGATGGTCCAGAATTCTGGGCATCACAAAGACGGAAGAGCAGCTCTGGCAGGTTCTGGACTGGGTTCACTCCGACCTCACAGCTAAGATAGGAATGGCTGAGTGAGAAGAACTGAACACTGTGTGATTTTTCTTCTTTTTTACAAAAGTTTATTCTTAAATGTACAGCAGGCTCCAAGACAGCACTTTATTCTAACTATACGTGGCAACAGATGTTGTAGCAGGGAATCCAGATGTTTACACAGGAATGGAATCAAGGTCCATCATAGTCTCAGCCACCAAGAACAGCTGACTTTTTGCTAGATTTCTTAATTCCACCTGTGCCCAGGGGGCCCTTCCCCGGGCCTTCCCTTCTAGCTCCTCCAATTTCTTTTCTTCTTCTTTCCGTTTCTGCTGGAAAACCTTACCTTCCTTGCATTTCTTGGGTCTGCTTCTTGGGTTGTTTCAGGGGCTTCTTCTTGCCCCCTGGGTGGCCCAACATGGCACCTGCTGCCTCCTCCCCAGACCTGCCACCAAAAAGCAGAGCTCCCTGATCTGTGTATGTTTTTAATGATTTTTTTTCAACATTTTATTATGGGCATTTCCAAACTAACACAAAATTGAGTTGCATTGAAAACTTGTATCCCTCTACTATTAGCATTATACTGAATCTTGTTTAATACATAAAGACCTACTCCTTACTTACCCACTCTCTCGTTATATGACATTTTACATTTAGGACAATAGTAAAAAACTAGTTTGTGCATATTGAAGAGGTGGCAGGCATGGTGGCAGAAGCAATGCCACGTCCTCCCTCCCTGGATGAGGGTCTCTGGGAAGCTGGGCCTTATTACCCTGTGCCCTCCACTCTCTGTAGCTGGTGGAGGTGCCAAGTCCACTTGCCCAAGGGCAGGGCTCTTCCATGGCCTCAGCCTCTAAACAGACATGCAGGTAGCCCCCAGGCCGGCTCCTGCACAACCGGAGCCCTGCAGCTCAGAGCTGCTGTGAGTGGGCAGGGAGAAAAGGAAGAAGCATTGGAGGAAGGATTTGAGAGAATTGTGTGTAAGTTCAATGATATCCCAAAGGGGATGGAATTGGGCCCGAGCCCTCAGGCCTTGGTCAGGCACTGTCGGTAGCCAGGCCCCAGAGCTGTGAGCGCTTGGCGCTCAGGGTTGGGTCAGCCCTGGAGGCAGTTCTGCAAGGGGAACTGCAAGTGGACAGGGGAAGTGGTTAAGCCCTGGGTGCTCCATTCACACAGCCTGTGTCCAGCTTCGTCTCCTCCACAGAGGAGCAATCCGTAACCAAGCTCACCACTGATGAGCACATCAGGAAAGCTTAGCATTTTTATTTTTATGATCATGTTTTTAAACTGAAAAACAAAACAAATCTGCCACGACAGATCTGTTTGTCCTTTTAGCATAGTACTTGCACCGTTTCTCCGCTGGCACCACAATTCAATTACATCGATGCTGCTTTGGTCGGTTGGCCAAGTAGCTGTCTGCCAAACTTTCTGGCTTAGACAAGTGAGTGCTTCCCGTGCATCATCAGCCTGTTGAAACACTGAAATTGTATTCCATCAATTCCTGGGACCTTGTTTTTGGCTAATGTTTTTCAGTGCAGCTTGAGTTTCTTCCTTCAGCACCATTGGTTCTTGTTCTTATCTTGCTATCTCTTGAAATGGTCGACTGTCAACTGGGTTTTTTTTTGGTACAGTGACTATGTATTCTTTCCATCTTCTTTGATGCTTCTTGCATCATTCAGTATTTGCCCATAGAATTTTTAAGATTGCAACTCAAGGCTTGAATTTTTTTCTTGAGTTCCTTCAGTTTAAGTTATGCTGAGTGTGTTCTTTTAAGGTTTCTATTTATATTTCTTTATAATATGTGGCTTTGTCATCTTGAGCTGCCCATTGAGGTTTCCTATTATGCCTGGTAGGGCTTGATCAAGGGCAATGTAACTGAGAGGAATTACTAAAAGCCAAATGAAGGTCAAACAGGATAGTGGGACCAGAGGAATGTGAAAGGAAATAGAGGAAAGAAGTAGGAGGCAGAAGACATTTATAGAGGTCTAAATAAGGCATGTACATATGTAAAAATATATATATAATGATAGGGAAATAGATCTATGTACATATGTTTATATATTAAGTATCAAGGTAGCAGATGGATATTGGGCCTCCACTCAAGTACTCCCTCCATGTAAGAACACCTTTGTTCTAATAACCTGGTATTCTGTGATGTTCACCTTCCCAACACAATCACTGAAGACAAAGCGGGTATGTAAGTAAATGTGGTGAAGAAAGCTGATGGTGCCCGGCTATCAAAAGATATAGCATCTGGGGTCTTAAAGGCTTGAAGATAAACAAGCAGTCATCTAGCTCAGAAGCAACAAAGCCCACATGGAAGAAGTACACCAACCTGTGTGATCACGAGGTGTCTACGGGATCAGGATCAGGCAGGCATCAAAGACCCAGAACAAAAAATCATATCAGTGCGAATGAGGGGGAGTGCAGAGTGGAGACCCAAAGCCCATCTATAGACAATTGGACATCCGCTACAGAAGGGTCACAAGGAAGAGACCAGCCAGTCAGGGTGCAGTATAGCACCGATGAAACATACAACTTTCCTCTAGTTCTTTAATGCTTCCTCCCCACCCCACCCCCTGCACTGTCATGACCCCAATTCTACCTTACAAATCCGGCTAGACCAGAGGATGTACACTGGTACAGATAAGAGCTGGAAACACAGGGAATCCAGGACAGATAAACCCCTCAGGAGAGTAGCCATACCAGGAGTGGAAGGGAAGGTGGGGGGACATAGGAGGAACTGATCACAATGATCTACATATAACAGATAACAGAAAAGTCAGTGAAGGGAGACATCAGACAGTGTAATACATCACAAAATAATAATAATTTATAAATTATCAAGGGTTCATGAGGAAGGGAGGGTGGGGGAAAAAAGCTGATACCAAGGGCTCAAGTAAAAAGAAAATGTTTGAAAATGATGATGGCAACAAATGTACAAATGTGCTCGACACGATGGATGTATGGCTTGTGATGAGAGGTGTATGAGCCCTCAATAAAATGGTTTAAAAAAAGAAATTTCCTATTCAGCTCTTTGACTTCATCATTTCTTCCATTGGCTTTAGTTACTCTACAACTAACAGCAAGCTTCAGTTTCTTCTGGTGTCCATTTTTATCTTTTCATTTTCCCTCTTTTTAAGTGGTCTTTTGCTTTTTTCATGAACGGTGAGCTCACTAGGTCTTCTGTCAGGAGTGTCTAATTCATCAAATCTAATCTTGAGATGTTCTTGAAATTCTGCGGGGGTAGACTCAAGGTCCTATTTTGGCTCTTGCGGGCTTGTTTTCCTTTTCTTCAGTTTTAACTTGACTCTACATCTGAGCAATTAACGATCTGTTCTATAGAATCCCCTGGTCTGCTTTTAGCTGCTGAGAGTGAACTTCTTCATCATCTCTGCCCATGGGTGTAGTCAGTGTGGTTTCCGTGCTTTCCATCTGGAGAAGTCCACGTGAGCTGCTTCATCGTCTCTGCCCACGGATGTAGTCAATGTGGTTTCTGTACATTCCATCTGGAGAAGTCCATGTGAGCTTCTTCATCGTCTCTGCCCATGGATGTAGTCAATGTGGTTTCTGTA